TTAGGGTTTCTCCCTAATTAGGGTTTTGCTTAATTAGGGTTTTGTTTTTTGCGCGCAACCGCACGCGCACCACAAACCCCTGATTATCGCGGGAAACTTTTTGCCTGGATCTCACAAGTTCAAGGCAGAAAGTTATCGAATTACTTTTTCCTATTTTTGTTTTTTTTAATTTAAATAAAATTTCAAAAAAAAATTAATTTCCCCTTTATTTTCTGTTGTCTTTTTAGTGTCGGTTGGAGCTAGCCGTTTTTTCCATATGAAGTCCATTTTCCCCGACTAAGGTCTCAAAATGTCGGAAAAAATACAAGGACCAACTTTGGTCCGGGCGGGGTTCCCTTGATTTCGCTTCGTTTCCTTGCAATTTAAATAATAAAAAAATTATAATTTTCATAATTTTAGCCGTTAGAATTTTTCAAAAAACGTCTCAAAATATTAACCTCGACGAGAGGACAACTTTGATGTATGTGCGGTTTTCACAAAAACGCCCGGTTCGAAAGATATTGGGGAAATACGAATAACTAAGATAAACAAAAAATAGAGAAAAATTGACTCATCAACTTCTCAAAGCTATTTAGTCTCTGGCTGATTAACCAGCGCACCCCCGTTGATAGGGGAAGGCCGAGGCCTTGGGGGTGCAGTCCCTTCCCCGGCAACGGCGCCAAAGTTGTGAGGAAACCCAGAGAGGGATCTTCTGCCGTTCGCTGAAGCCAGAGGTAACAGCGTCTGTCACCGGTTGTACCCGCTTCCGAGGTCCTCAACGGCTGGCATGGCGATGATAGTAGTCCTGCCTGTGGAGTGGGAGGGATTCAGCTGATCATTGAACGCGAACTTATACAAATAGTTTTTGTTTGATTAAATGGGTATTGCGCCAATGGAGAACAACTAGAGAGCAGGGCCCGAGAACCGTGAGTCGCCACAAAGACACCAGGGTTCTTTCTCCCGACAACCCAGCCCCGCTACCGAGCAGCGTCCCTGCAGAGAATGTCCTGAACAGATGGCTTGCGACGGTACAATGAGGGGCCAGGGTTTAGGCTGCCCTTGTGTGGTATGGAGTTGCGTTGAAAGAATGAACGGGTGTAGGTCTAACGATACGCAGCTACTGCCCCTTTCCGCCAATGAGCAGCGGTCCCCTGCTTTGTCAATGTGATGTTGACGGCCTATTAATCAATACTCGGTCAGTCCATAATTAGTCCATGAGGAAGTCCACCACAGATTGATCATTACTTATATGGCCAATAGCCACTCAGTACTCGAGCAAGCGATGTACAATGAGTTTCTCAACTTATTTTGGATCAATCATCCCCCATTCAGCCAATAACTACTTAGTATTCGAATAGACGATGTATGAAGGGTTTTTCAATTTATGATAGATCAATCGTTGCTGCACAACCCCGAATTACACTTTGCATTTCACCCGTTTCCAAACAAAATAAAATAAAAGGGAGAAAAGAAATTGGTATAAAATAATTTGGTTGTTAGACGAGCTTTTATCACACAGGGAATCCCGACTGCCAAATTGGCAAGGACGAGACTGGCTTAACCGCACGGGGATTGAAGGTTGTGATCCCTGTCATAATTTAGCAGACATACCCTGAGGCCCGAACAAAATGTATGATGGGGAGTAGTGTTACTTCGGAGCTGGCACAAAATCTCTGGTATTTCTGTCTCATCGCTCTTCTGGCGCTCGAGTAAACTTGCCTGTTTGGGCGCAAACTCTTTTTGTTCGGTCATTACCCAGCTTCATTAGTTTACCATAAAGACCTTCACATTCGTATTAATCACAGTTCGCTCAAGGCCGGCGGTCTGCAGGTTCTCGATTGGTCGTTAACAGCCGCTTCCCAAGTGCGTAACTGTCGTAGCTCTTAGGATAGACTTACTGGTCTGACTCGCAATTCCTATTCGATGGACTGTGATTATGTTTCAGAATTGAATATTAGAAAACAAATAAAGGAAATTTTTGAAATAATAAGGAAACAGCACCAAACTCTCGCTGCTTTGTTTTCCCTTGTCTCCCTACACTTCTGCATGCATTAACATTTACCCTCCTCTTCCCCTTTTTCTCTCAGAACCGTTCCCATCAGAGAAGGCAACCCTTTTTGGCCCCTTTTTCACTACCCGCCCTCTCACTCAGCAGACAGGCACAGTCCAAGAGTAATCCTGTGGTTTGTCAGGTCCCCCGATCTAGAGATTCTTCAATTTCTTACTTGGGGACCTGCAGCTAATCCGCGGTTTCTGACAGTTGAGCACCTAGTCTGACAGGTATCTCGATCTCAGATAATCATCAGTGCCTTACTTACGATTTCAAAGTCGATCTGCAATTATGACTGTTGCGCAACCCAGTGCCCTGATCCGTCACTCGATCGAGAATAATTTCCAGTCTCTCACATATGATTCCGAAGCTAATCAACCTTTTTCAAGTGACGAGCGGACTAATGACCCATCCTGTCAGTCAAACTGTGGTAATTATCGGCCCCTGGACTCGCAGTCCCTTGGTCAATTACCAGCTTTCGACTGGCGCGTGATCAGTTGATCGGCCCGCTCTCTCAATTTTCAATAATTATCTCTGACGGGGTCTTAACTCTGACGAGATCTAAACTTGCGATCCCTCCGCCAATTAGCATTTATCGACAGGCAAGTGAACAGACGATCGGACCGCTCACTTGATTCCAAGCAGTTCTCAAGACGTAGCTTTTTATTGTGGTCATAGCATCGCTGTCCCAAGGGATTTACAATTAAAATTGCTTGAAATCACTATTAGTTTGCCGTATGCGGAATATGCTCAGTTCACTTCGCCTCTTTCACATTCGCTCACACCCCCTCACGGATACACACATACCACTCACCCGCGCTCCCTCTTCGTTTCTAATGCACTAAGGGTTGGATTCCAACAAATAGTAACGTTATTAATTACAACAGTAATAGTCCATCCCCGACGAGCCTCTTCACTTAGGCATACAAGAAACTGGGCAGTAGTCACATTGCTTCAACATCAGTCGCTTTTCTGACTCGCTCCACACACACAACCAAACACTTTCCCGCTCGCACTCTCTCACGCCCATAGTCACTTACTTTGGTGTAGGTGAGCGTTGTCTCATCCCTTTTAGCAGCTTTTACATGGGAGTTGTCTGCAGTTCAAAGACTTGTCAAAAACAGGCGCGAGCGGAACGGGCCAACCACTCCTTAGCTGCAGCAAACTCGCCCACCATCGCAATTGCACGATTTCTCATTAGATGGGACGCATACATCATTTCCGGTCTATCTCGCTGAGTTGCAATCTTATGGTCAGCTGTGTTCGGCAGGCGCTTACCTCGGAGTGTCCCCCTTTTCCCTTCCCTACGCTGTCTTAGCGCGGGGTCCCGAAGATGTTTGATCTGAACGTCATCCCGTTGCGGCGAAAACCAGGCACTCTTATACGGGCGTCTTCCCGTAGCAGAGAACTGCCCCCCCGTTTCTCGCATCACGAGGAAGAGGACTGTGTACGCCGCGCGCACTGCATCCCCCCCGTCTGTAGCGCCCCTCTTCTCTTTCCCCTCATCGGTTGATCCCCGCAAGCGCGCTCTGGGTGAGGTTCAGTAGCGGGGCACGTCGTGCATGCACTGAAGAGTCCCCTTCCCTCCACAAACGCGCGAACTTCTACCCTCCTTAAGCCTTGCCAGCCAGCGCTGCGAACACCGTGCGCAATTCCTGTCCCATCTCCCAACCGGGCCGTTCCAACCCTGTCCGAAGAGCTAGAGTGGGCGGCGTACACCAAGCACGCCCCTCACCAAGTCCCCCCCCCTCTATATTGCTAGCGAATCCAATATGCGAGTAACTTCTTGGTCGCAGTCGGTGGGACTCGTGTGACCACAGCGGTACCAGGGGCTTAATCCAACAGGTCGAATTCAGGCCTGGTCCTGTTCATACCAGCGGCACCTAGTGGTCTTAGGCCCGGGTTTTCCGAGCCTGCGTCGTACCAAAGTTGCTGGTCTTCCCAAATAATACCAGCGAGCCGGCTAGGCCAAGTGCAGTCCCATCTTGTAGACCCGCCGTATTTGTACCAGAGTACGTCAAAATTGTCCCGTGTCGTACCAAATCCAAACCAGTTACCAGACCTGAAGTAATCGTGTCCTTAACAGCCGCAGCCTGAAATCAGTTCAATGTTGAATACCGTACAATGGAGCAATACTGTGCCGGTTCCGTTTCAGCAGTCATACCGAACCAACGTAGAATACCATACCGTGCAACCGATCTACCATGCCAGTACCGTCAAATGGCTGAACCATACCTGTCCGAACCAGTGGTCACACCAAAACAAGAAGGCCGCGTGGTCCATCCCAAAGTAGACTTTGTCGCCACGTCATACCGACCATGTCGCCGCGACCCAAAATCGGTCCGCTTGCTCAATGACATTCTGGCTGATCACAAGGGTAGTAATCAAGTGGATCAAGCAAAATCAAGGGTGGGATTATAATTGTCAGGGACTCGAATGGATCCATGGACATAAGGTAAGTAAATAGTTTCCAACAAAAAATTCATCAAGGATAAATTTCGTCAAAAATTATTCAAATAATAATCATTTGTTTTTTTTTCTTTTATTATTTTTAACTCTCCTACTCATTTTGAATACTGTTATTAGAATCGGCAAAAATTGAGGACAATTTCATCATGAATAAATTTCAAAGAAATTAAATTAATTAACAAATACCCGTTTGTTTTCTCCCCTTTTATCGTTTTCAATTCTTTTTCTCAATTTTTAATTTTTGTCGTTATAATTAATAAAATTTTGAGGGTTCATTCCCTCATCAATTGCCTAGTGTAAAAAGGGCGCGCCGAGCTCCAGCACCACATCCCGGCTTCGCGGCCGGCCCCATAGGGAACAGCCTCGGAACGAGCGAAAATAATAGGTGTTAGGCACGATAGGCACAGTTGTCCATCATGTTGATTTGAAGGGTCAATTTTTATAATTGATGGGGGGGATTTTAGGGACCCTTTTCCGACCCCTCATTTCTTCCGACGGCTCGGATGAAAATGCCGCTTGATTCCTCCCTGTGCACTTAACCTGAGGCCCAATCTTCTGTATTTCGGGTGGTCGACCGATCTGCGGTCGCCCAACACCGAGATGGTGCAGCCTTTCCACTTCTTGCCCTATCAAGGTCCTTATGCCAGAAGGTGGAAACTGGCATGGACCGTGCTTCAAATGCTTCCACCTCCCCACTCAAAGTATCGTAGGTCATGGCAGACTCTCTACTCTTCAAACATCCGCGCAACGATTCGGGCATAGCGCGATAAAACAGTTGGACCAACTGGGCCTCAGTGACCCCATGGTCAGGGACCGCTACGAACTCATCCAGGACACCCTTGAGTGCCCTGACACTCCTCCATTGGCGAGAATGGATCGTCTGCAGTTTGTAGGAAGCTCTAACACTTCGCATGACATCTGCGAATCTCTCACGTTGTAGCTTAAAGCAATCACTCAGGGGGGTGATTAGAGAATACGCGACCATATCGTTCTCGCACTTGGCAGTACGACAAAGCGATCTGGCGACGCTAACTGCTTCGTCTTTAAGGGCATGGAAGCCAATGAGGACATGTTCCTCATGAGCTATCTTCTGGAGGTGAACATAAGAGTTCACGTTTACCTCCCAATTATCGAAGTTCTCCTCCTTCTTCCCGCTGTAGGAATCAGGGAACTTCACTTTAACGGACTCTCTACGTGGTCGGGCCTCCTCCTCTCTAGGGCCCACTATCTTTGCGTCTTCAATGGCGTCCACGCAAAACTTATGAGTGCCCTCCATAATTGTGCGCAATTCAGTGCCTACGTGCATCATCATATCCTTTGCAAAATCCTTAAAACCGGTCCGCATGGATTGCAGCGTGATGTCATGGCCCTTTAAATAGCGCAACTGTTCTTGCTGCGCCTTCAGCATCACCTCCACGCTCTGTGATAAGATCTCCACCTTCTTTTGGAGATCAACTTGCGCTACCAACCTCCCATGTTCTACTTCAACGGCCCTCAAATCCCTTTCCATTTTCTTGGCCGCCTCCAATCTTCTCTTCCTCTCGCGGGCAAGGCGGAGTTTCCACTCCAACTTTTTTTCCTCCTCCATCACATGCCGCTTCATGGGATTTTCTTCACCCTTCAATTCCCTAGCAAATTGTTCCCGCTCTACTTGAGGGACAAACAATAATGCTTCGTCCTCCTCCCCCAGGCCAAGTTAGCTACTCATTGGTTCACCATTCTCTCCATCTTAGCCTCCACCTCCATCTTGGCTTCGGCCTCTCACGCCCTACTGGATTCCCCTCTCTCTTCTCTCCTTCCTCTCCTGACCAGTGGTATCTCCTCCTCTTCTTCTTCTGTTTCTGACTCTATTGCTGCCAATTTCTTCTCATGCTCCTTTTCCCACTTTTGAAGTTCCTCCTCCATTTGTTTCTGCTTGGCCTTTTGCTCCTCCATTAAGGTCAGCATCTTCGTTTGCTTAATCAGCTCCCTCTTCTCCATCAGGAGGGCGGCGACTTTCTCTTCTTGCTCTTTAGTATACGGGGTGGTGATCTTACCGCTGCCCGTCTCAACCATGGTGAAAGATGCACAACCGAGTGTATGTTCCACTCCTCACCAGTTAGACTTCCACCCCCTAGCTGACTTAACTTACCTACTGACTCTCTTAGGACCACAGAGCCTTACCCTTCGATCCAGCCAGGTTACCACGACCGACGGAAGCTTTCGCCACCACTGTCCTTTACAATCCAGACCCAGATGCCCAACACCTGCGGTTAATCCCACCTGGCTTTCTCTCCGATTCAGACTCTGCCAACTAGGGTCACTAGCCTAGACCTACTTCTAAGCCGTCACTACAGGACTTCCTGCTGATCAGGAGGCATTTAAGGAGATCCCATGTAACTCATCAGGAATTCTTTACCGTCGCAAACAGGACGACGCGATCAGCAAGTCCTCTCAAACTTAGACGGCCTGTTGTGCAGCCCACAACTCGGATTTTGGGCCTACCGTGCCACATCGAGCAGCCCGCAGGTCAGTACCGGTCCTTGGGAGGGTTCGTGTCCTCCAGGACAGTCAAGTCGTCAGACACGACCTTTAGCCCTACTCAGCCCGTGTGGGTTTGGTCAACAAGGCCCTATCCTTCATACACGGAGTTCCTATCACCTGGACAGAAGAAACTCAATGCAGAAAGAAGAGACAGACAGACTCAGCAAGTACCATGGGTTAAGTGCACATCCATAGGGCGAGGGAATAGGCTAAGGGCTTGGCGAGTTTATACCAACTCCAACTTGGTCAAATTCGTGGTCAACATCACTGGTCAACGCCTGGTCAACGCCTGTCAACCCCTCAGTAAACGCCCAAATCAACCTTGGTGAACGTCTTGGTCAACGCCCACGTCACTCTGGTTAACCCTTTGATCGACGGTCAATTCGGCTATGGCTGCCGACACTTTCTCTCTTACCAACCCTTGCTTCTCGCTTCCCCCTCCTTTCTTCTTCCTCGCTGCTTTCTCTTTTCACCCCGGCTATGAGTTCCTTCTTCGTCTCTCCCTTCTCCTTCCTCGGCTATGGCTTCTCTCTCATCCTTCGTCTCCCCCTCCTCTTTCACTCGTCTTCTTTCTTCCACATCCGTGTCCGAGCTCCACGGCTATGGCCGCCTTCTTCTTCCTTGGACCGCACAACAATGGCCGCCTTCTTCTTCCTTGGACCGCACAACAATCTTGTACCACTCCTCTCTCTCTCTCTCTCTCTCTCTCTCTCTCTCTCTCTCTCTCTCTCTCTCTCTCTCTCTCTC